AGGATCTCGAGCTTGCACCATATAAATCGAAGTCGATCCTGACTTATCATGCTCTAGTCTTGACTAGTCGCACAAAAAAGGGCAAGCTTGATTTTGCCATATTGCTGAATTAAAAAATTTAAAGATTCGTAGGGGCCTCGCCTCTGCCTCCTAAAACATGTTGGGAAGCGTGTCAAGCTAATAGAAGGAAAAGAATATTTAAGAGAGAAAAGCAATAAATTGCACAAGACAAGACAAGACAAGATTTACGTGGTTCGGCAATTTTTGCCTACTCCACAGCCACACAAAGAATAGTTCTTTATTAATTGAAGAGAGAAAGAAGAAGTCTTTGGGATGATCTACAAATGAAAATGTAGACCCCTATTTATAGGAATTTGAATGCCCTTCCGAGGTAAGCGCTTACATCATAAGAATGTCGATGTAAGCACTTACATCATAAGAATGCCGAGGTAAGCACTTACATCACAAGAATGTCGATGTAAGAGCTTACATCATATTTTCATCTCTTTTTGATTTTTCTTTCTTTTGTTTTGTTCACTTTCACATACAACAATAGGTTTTCTCCTATCAATCTCCCCCTCAAACCTATGTTACATCAAGAAAGAAAGAAAAATTTGCTATTCTCTGGTGGTGCCTTCACGCTATCAGTCTTGAAGGCTAACTGAGGCAGCGCACAGCCTCAGTTTGTCAACACCGACAACTTTGGTCAACATGTCTGACGGGTTCTTTGATCCTGGTATCTTCTGAGGGAAAGAGTTCCTTCATTTATCAACTCTCGAATATGATGATACCTCAACTGGATATGCTTCGATCTTGCATGAAATACTGGATTCTTGGCAAGATGAATTGCACTCTGGCTATCACTGAAAAGCTCACAATTGTCTTGCTCTTTACCTAGCTCTTTAAGAAAATTCTTGAGCCAAATCATCTCTTTTCCAGCTTCTGAGATTTCCATGTACTCTGCTTCAGTGGTAGATAGAGCAACACTTTTCTGAAGTCTGGACATCCAACTAACAGCAGTATAACCCAAGGTGAACACGTAGCCCGTGGTACTTTTTCGACTATCCAGATCGCCGCCTAAATTTGCATCAGCAAAACCTTGTAAGATAAAATTGCTCTTTTTAAAACAAAGTGCCATCCCTTANCATACCTGAGGTGCCTTTGAGATATCGCAATATCCATTTTACACCTTCCCAATGCTCCTTTCCTGGATCTGACATGTATCTACTGACAACTCCAACAGCATGGGCTATGTCAGGTCTAGTGCAAACCATAGCATACATCAAACTTCCTACCGCTGAAGCATACGGAACTTTGGACATGTACTTCCTTTCTTCATCTGTCTTAGGTGATTGGTCCTTTGACAGATTTAGATGGCTTCCGAGTGGAGTGCTTTTGGTCTTTGCATCATGAAGACTAAACCTGCTTAGTACCTTCTGTATGTACTTTTCTTGAGACAACTTTAAGGTTCCTTCCGACCTATTTATGTTAATCCTCACCTCAAGCATTTGCTTAGCTGGTACTAAGTCTTTCATTTCAAACTCCTCTGCCAGTTGTTGCTTAACCAAATTGATCTCATTTATGCTAGATCCTGCAATTAGCATATCATCAACGTACAACAGTAAAATGATATAGGATTTATCAAGATTTTTTATATAACAACAATGATCCATCTCACATCGTCTAAAACCATTTTTATGCATGAATCCATCAAATTTCTTGTAGCATTGTCGGGGAGCTTGTTTCAAACCACACAAACTCTTCTTCAACTTACACACAAGGTTTTCTTTACCAGAAACTTGAAAACCTTCAAGTTGCTTCATGTAGATGTCTTCTTTAAGGTCACCATGCAAGAAAGCAGTTTTAACATCCAGCTGCTCCAAATGCAAATTTTCTGCAGCTACGATACTTAGAACCAACCTGCTAGTAGTTAATTTGACTATAGGAGAGAAGATCTCGGTGTAGTCAATTCCTTCCTTCTGCTGAAAGCCTTTTACTACTAATCGTGCTTTGTATCTCTTCTTACCATCATGATCTTCCTAGACTCTGTACACTCACTTGTTCTACAATGCCTTCTTTCCTTTTGGTAACTCTGTAAGTATCCATGTTTTATTCTTTTGAAGAGAATTCATCTCTTCTTTCATGGCTAGCTTCCACTTATCAAAGTCTATCAATTGCATTGCTTCAACAAAATGCTCTGGTTCTCCAGCATCAGTTAAAAGTAAATAGTAAAGAGAGAGATTTAACATATCTGGAGCATTCGTGACTCTTTTAGATCTCCTCAATGTAGGTTCATGAGTAACAGAATCCGAATTTGATTCAGGCCCTGATTCCATATTTGGTTCTGCATTTGATTCTATCTCTGGTTCCGGTTCTGGTTCTGATCCAAGTTCGACTTCTAGTTCTTCTTCAAATTTGGCTTCTGGTTCTTCATCTTCAATTTTAGAATCAGTTATAATCCCTCTAGCCACTTCATTTTCTGAGATTTCTTCTAACTCAATTGTTTCAGACATTGTCTGTTTGCTGGTATTGGTTGGTTCTACTTCAAGCTTGTCCGTGTACATCACATTTTCATTGAATGTGACATTCCTGTGTCTTAGGATCTTTCTATTCTGATCATCCCAAAACCGATAACCAAAATTATCATCACCATAGCCAATAAAGAAATATTTCTTGGCTTTAGGATCAAGCTTATCTCTATCATTAGAGTTTACATGCACATAAGCAACACAACCAAAAAATTTCAGAATTAAAAGAGTTACCTCCTTCCTGTCTATACTTCCTCAGGAATTTCAAAATTCAGCGGTACAGAGGGTCCCCTATTTATGAGGTAAGCTGCCGTGTTAACAACCTCGGCCCAAAAATACTTCGGCAATCCAGAATGTATTCTCATACTTCTGGCTCGTTCATTCAGGGTTCTGTTCATCCTCTTAGCAACGCCATTTTGTTCCGGTGTTCCAGGAATTGTCTTGATCATTCTAATCCCATTCTCCGAGCAAAATGCTTTGAACTCTTGGCTATCATACTCTCCTCCATTGTCAGACTTCAGACATTTTAACTTTAGACTTGTCTGATTTTCAACTTCAGCTTTCCATCTTTTAAAGGTAACAAACACATCAGATTTATTTTTCAAAAAATAAACCCATACCTTTCTTGTGGAATCATCAATGAAGGTGACATAATAGTGTGAGCCTCCTAGAGAAGTTACAGGAGCTGGTCCCCACATATCTGTATGTACTGGTTCCAGCTTCTCTTTCTTTGGCGTCCTTCCCACCTTTGAGAAACTAACTCTTTTTTGTTTCCCGTAAATGCAATCTTCGCACAAACCTAATTCAACATGTTTTAGGTTTGGCAACTTTTCTTTGGATGCCAAAAGCTTCATTCCCTTCTCACTCATATGCCCGAGCCTCCGGTGCCACAATGTTGTATTACGACCATAATCAACTGTTGCTATAGTATCTCTTTGTATTGCAGCTGCATACAGTGTTCCCCTTTTGAAGCCCCGTGCCACAACCGAATTCCCTTTGGTTATCTTCCATGATCCGTTGTCGAATGTTGTTGTATATTCTTCACCGTCAATCTGACCCATAGATATCAGATTTTTTTTAGGCCAGGAACATGTCGTACATTTTGCAATTTCCATAGCGTGCCTTGTGAAGTCTTTATATGAACTTCACCTTTTCTAGCAATGTCGAGAGGTTCGCCGTCTCCTAGATAAACTTTCCCAAATTTTCCAGCAATATAATTATGCAATAATTCTTTGCATGATGTAGAGTGAAAAGATGCACCTGAGTCTAGAATCCAAGATTCGACTGGACTGTCTGCACAACAAATTAGTGCATCACCGACTTGTTCAGCAATTACATTTGTTGAATTTTCTTCCTTCTTCTTCTTTGGTTCTCTACATTGGCTACTGTAATGACCATTTTTATCGCAATTCCAACAAGTAATGTCCTTGCAATTTTTGGATTGTCCTTTTATCCTTGACTTTGATCTGCCACGACCATAACTCTGTCCACTTTGGTTGATTCTCCCCCTGCTTTCGGTACTAAAAGCAGATCCTGGGAAATCACTTGATTCTCTTCGGCGAATATCTTCACTTAAAACCAAGTCTCTAATATCATTCAATTTGAGTTTGGTTCTTCCTGATGAACTGCTAACTGCAGTTACTGTTGCAAACAACTCTCCGGTAGAGATGATAGTAGAATCAACGCCCTGATTTCGTCATAAATTGTTATATTAACAAAACTCAACTAAGTTAATATTATATTAAACTCATTGATATGTTCCATGATTGATCCACCTTCTGTCATCTTTAAGTTGAACAATCGATGCATCAAATAGAATTTATTTGAAGCAGATGGTTTCTCGTACATATTTGATAACGCCTTCATCAGGCCTGCAGTGGTCTTCTCGGTAATGATGTTAAACACCACATTTTGTGTTAGCGTCAAACGAATTACACCAAGAGCTTGGCGATCTAATAGATCCCAATCCGCTTTGGACATAGTCTCCGGTTTCACCTCGGTCAGAGGTGAGTGTAATTTTTTTCTAGTACAAATAATCCTCTATTTGCATTTTCCAGAATCCAAAGTCTTTGCCATTGAACTTGTCAATCTTAACCTTCCCTTCTTCCAATGCCATTTTTCACAAAAAACAATTTATGTGAATAGTGCTTGTGAATAGTAACAATGATCAATAGTGTCACACTATTCTTTTGAATAGTACCTGCACCAATACTGTACTTTTCTACCAGAAATACACTGTCTGTGCTCTGATACCAGTTGTTGGGAAGCGCGTCAAGCTAATAGAAGGAAAAGAATATTTAAGAGAGAAAAATAATAAATTGCACAAGACAAGATTTACGTGGTTTGGTAATTTTTGCCTACTCCACGGCCACACAAAGAATAATTTTTTTATTAATTAAAAAGGGAAAGAACAAGGTAAAAATGTAGACCCCTATTTATAGGCATTTGAATGCCCTGCCGAGGTGAGCGGTTACATCATAAAATGCCGAGCTAAACGCTTACATTATCATATTTTCTATCTCTTTGTTTTGTCCACTTTCAGGTACAAGAATATGTTTACTTCTATCAAAACACAGGTAATATCATTTATCTTTTTTCTAATATATCTCTACCTTTAAATGTCATTCTCAGATTCTGAGTAACCTAGCCTAACATTCTAACTCCGACGTAGACAGCGGTTCTCTAACAGTGGATGCGAACAAAGATGGCAAAGAATTCATTCGTTTTGCTGCTCTGCAGTTTAGTCATTTTCGGAACTCTAACGGTTGCTCAGGTCTTTTTACTATTGATAATCTTGTCTCCATGTTTTCACCAATTTTATATTTGTTTATTTTTATTTTTGTTTGATGTTTGAGTAATTGAATTGAGACCCCGTTAGTGGGAATACACCAGGTTTGTTGTTGTTGTTATTTGAGTAATTGAATTGTTGTAGGAACTTCCTTTGGCTTTTATTTTAGGCTCGCCCTGCAATGACAACAATGATATAACAGCAGATCTGTTTGTTGAGAGCTGTTTGTGCTTTGGATCGTAATGTTTTTGCATCTTCGTGGCGGAGATTGTGTTGGCATGATAGACTACTTAATTGATATGTAGCTAATTCACATTGTTAATTTCATTGTATGTGGAACTTTAGATCCAATATTATCTGTTTCTAATAATTGCTGTAATTCCCGTTTTACAATTATGTTTTGCTATAATTACTATGAGTTCGGAGGATCAATGTGGCATACTTTGATGTTTGCACTGAGGTTTCAGCACTTCCTTGGTGCTATTAAGCAAATACTGGAATTTACCTATTAAGAAAGTAACAAAAGAGAGAATGTGAATAATAAAAATAATGACTTAATTAAAAGGAAAAAGGAAAGGCAGCTTGAATTAGCTAATTATTGTGCTTCTACCTGCAACTATTTGGTAGGGATGTGGGCTAGCTTAATCTACAATCTTGAATATAGTGCTAAATTATATTATACTTTTGCAACATCACAAAACATTCAATGCTTCTCAAGTTTCCTCAGAAATCGCTGGTTTCTGTAGAAGCATATCTAAGCTCATTTTCTCTTTTCTTTGTGACAAGACAAGATATTATTATTATTATTATAGTTAACTCGAAATTTAATGCTTTGCAGGGCAAAAAGTCCCAGGAAAATCTAAAAGAAATAACTCACAAGGTTTTCTTTGATGTTGAGATTGATGGTAAACCTGCAGGTGTGCTCTTACCCTTGTATTGATTCATTTTAGTTTATTAACTTGTCAATGATTTGTTACACTTTAAAAAAAAAGGGGGCAATCCGGTGCACTAAGCTCCCGCTATGCGCGGGGTCCGGGGAAGGACCGGACCACAATGATTTGTTCCACTAGCATCACATTATAGGTCGTTATGTATCCTGAAACACATGCCCTGTAGTCTTCCTTCCTTTCTTCTTTTATTTTTATTTCTCGGGGCAGGGGATGGTTTCTTTACCTCTACCATATCCCGTCTGTGGATCTTCTTAGTGAAAACTAATTTATTTTGGATGGTTTTTTATTCTGTGTAGCATAATATTTAAATATTTGTATCTTTCCTTCTTCTACCAAAACATTGAGCATTGTGGTTTTGATCTTCCTTTCCTACTTAAGTTACAAAATAGGGTATCCAAAGCCATATTTAGGCATATCATCCACCCTCTTGAGTCTTGTGAGTAGACTTCTAACTTGCACTTTGTTGTTGTGTATTTGGTCATGTCCAATCCAGATATTTCTTTCAAGTTTCTGGTAGATATGTTTGACCCTTCGGGCATGTACAATGTTGTTCTGTGTTATATGAAATTCATCTACATGTCTTTAGTAATTAAAACTTGACCTTGTTGAGGATTCAAAGTTTCCTTATTCTTTCCTCCCCTTCCTCTGGTATGGTTCATGGTCCATTAGAATATTGATTAATTAAAAAAATGAGTATTCTCTTAGATGAAGGGAGCAGGATAAAAAATTATTCTCTGTATCCTAATCAACTGGCACTCCTTTTCTGTTCGTCCAAAAAAGATTGGTACCTTTCTATAATTAGAAACCCTTGATGTATACATTCTCATTTTTCTCTTAATAAGATACTCTTATAAGATTTGTTTGCTTCTGTGTCAAAAGTCCTCCGTTATTTTATTTCTTTTCATCTCTAAACCTATGGGAATATAATGGGTTTGTTGTTGTTGATCTCTAAAACAGACTTTTAGTACTAACTAACAACAAGGGAGTGCTAGAAATCCTTCTTTTTTCTTTAAACTTTGTGTTCAGTTAATTCTAAACAAATTTGGACAGAGGAAGTATAAAATTTGTTTATTTATTTCTTTATACTGATCCACATTTATAGTTTGACTCAGTAACAAATCAGACACAAATGTAACGTTTAAATAGTTATTCTTGATTCTTGTGTCTTTTGGGAGCCGAGGGTCTATTGGAAACAGTCTTTCTATCCTCACAAGGTAGGGGTAAGGTCAGCGTACACACTACCCTCCCCAGACCCCACGGTGTGGGATAATACTAGGTATGTTGTTGTTGTTGTGTCTTTTGGGAATATCATGTTTGTGTATGCATTCCCTTGTTTGCAATATACTAAAACTTAACATTTCCTTCTTAGACGTTTGAATCCTTAAGCAACCTTTGGTAGGTAGAATTCAGGACAGGAGAAAACATTAAGGGCAATGACTTTTTGATGTCGTAGAATTTTCTTAGTTATTTATGTCTGTGGTCAGATGCCTTTACCATATAGTGTTATAATCTGACACACCATTGAATTGTTTCCTTTGAAGTGATACATCATGTACATGTTTTCCTTCAGGTCGTGTTGTTATAGGTCTCTTTGGTAAAACAGTTCCTAAAACATCAGGTATGGTGATTGGTGACATATATATAGCAATAATTGTAAATTTCACTTTTATTCCAGTTTTATTCACAAGCTACTTATTTTATTGCAGAAAATTTCAGAGCATTGTGCACAGGTACTTCTACCTGCATTTTCATATTTCATTCTCCTGCTCTTGATAAGACGGTTGGATCTAGACTCTATAGATGCCACAGTGAATCTAGCCCGTGCTTGTCAATGATTGTTCGTTTCCATTTTTTCCTGCTATTAATTTGTTTCCCTTTGTATCTGACTGATGACAAAAAATGGAACTACATACTGTCTATTAAGTTATTTTGCATAATATATAAGAAGTGGCTTCAGCGTTTGTTCACTTAAAATTCATGTTCTTGCTCAAACGGATTTCATCAACAGGGGAGAAAGGTATTGGAAAGAGTGGCAAGCCTCTTCATTACAAGGGAAGCACATTCCATAGAATAATCCCCAGCTTCATGCTTCAAGGTGGTGATTTCACCCTTGGTGATGGTCGTGGAGGGGAATCAATTTACGGGGAGAAGTTTGCTGATGAAAACTTCAAGATCAAGCACACTGGACCTGGTAAGATTATCATTCTATGGTTATGTTAAAGTGCTGAATTTGTCCTGGCTTAATTTGCATGCATCTAAAAAGTAATTTTTTTTCCAGGGCTTTTGTCGATGGCAAATGCTGGTTCTGACACCAATGGTTCACAATTCTTCATCACAACCGTCACAACTAGCTGGTAAGTTGAGGACTTTGAAAAGGTTTGCTCAGATGTTTTATATATTGTCCTTTGATTTTGTACTTTTGATGTTGCTGTATGTTCTCCTTTGGTAAGCTGTAAATTTCTTCTAACTTGTGATTGTTTATAGGTTGGATGGTCGACATGTTGTGTTTGGAAAGGTGTTATCTGGAATGGATGTGGTTTATAAGGTTGAAGCTGAAGGAAGACAAAGTGGAACACCCAAAAGCAAAGTTGTCATAGCAGAAAGCGGTGAACTTCCACTATAAACTAAGGTTTTGTAAATGCAGATATGGAATCTATAGACTATTTTTCTGCCAATTATGAAAACTATCCAAAATTTGCTTTGCTTTTATAGTATTACTTTGGAGGCGTTATTATACTTTTAATTATACAGCTCTGGCAAACCAAAATTAGGCTAATAATAATTTAAGTGAAGTGGCCAACAGACAGTTGTTGACGTTAGAACAAATAAACGACCACCTAATTAGAAGTTATATTCAGTTAACATGAATAAGGTTTCTCATGCTAGATAACTTGATAAGTACAATATTCCATTATTGCAAAAATCCACTTTAATCTCTCTCTATATATACACACAATATTAAAAGTACGAAAACTCTTAGTGAAATGTTGTTAACTTTTTTTACCCTTTTAAAATAGAATTCACACTAGACAAAATAGTCATTTGATTATTCTTCTACCTAATATTTAGAAATTTGAAATTAAATAAGATTTATTACAATTAGAGAAAATACATAAAATGCCCATCAAACTTGTTCGGAAAAATCATTTACACACCTTAACTTTATGGACGACCTATGTCCCCCCTATTCTTGTTTGGGGTGAATTTAATATCTCATTGGTAACACATAGTCAGTCTTGTGGTGGGATGTATAGTACACACGTCACGTGTCAAAAGCTTCTTTATTTTTTCCCCACTTATTTCGTTACCTATTTTTGAACTCTTTTTTTTCTGTGTCATCTTCATTACCACCTACACCACCATGGAAGATCCAACACTTTCAGCTTTAAAAAGTAGGGGAAAATTCCTCGTCGAAAAAATGAAGCCGGCAAATCCCAAACTTTTCAGTCAGTTAAAATCCCGCAAACTTCGGCAAAATTTATGTCCAAACAGGCCAGATTATATTATTTATTCAATTTTTTTCAACGAAATACTACAAGAAATAAATCAGAAAGACATGATTTTTTTATAGCTAGTACAACTATTCTGGTAAAGAAAAAGTAGAAGAAAAAAAGTAGAGGGATGGAGGCAGATACAATGGCGGAAGTAATATCTTGGATGGGAAAGGGGAAATGGTGACAGGAAGAAGAAAAGGTACAGAGAGAAAACAAAAAGAGAAGAAAAATAAGAAAAGAAGAAGCAAAAGAAAAAGGGACGCACACGGTAAAAATATATGTCTATTTTTAATCCTTTCCCTCTTACACGCGAGTTTGGGAGAGTGAAACTACTGCCTTTGCCACGTCACCATTTATGGTGATATTAATTTCACCTCAAATAAAAATAAGGGGGACATAGGTTGCCCGTAAAGTTAAGGTGTGTAAATGATTTTTCTGGACAAGTTTGATGGGTAACTTATGTATTTTCTCTTTAAATTAAGCAAGAGGTCCTTATATTTAGGATTTTATAATTATTAAAGTTTTATTTCATATGCATTTTAAAATTAAAGTATAATTAAATAATACCAAATATTTATATGTTTGACCTTATGAATTTTATACAATTGAATTTTTCTAGCTCAAAAGAAATTGTATAATCATGTTAAACTTTAGGTGAATAATTATGATGTAAACAAATCAATAATTAACCTATAAATGCTATGAGTATTCTATGTGAGATTGGTGCATTGGCTATTAATTTTATTCTTCGACCAATAATTAACTTAGATATAAATATTAATATAGACTTTAAAACTTAATTAGAAAAAATAATTATAAAAATATTTAATAATAGCATGAGAAGAGAGAGAAAAGTGATTGACAAAAATCATTTACTAACGCTACGACAAACATAAAGTGCAAAAGTTTAATTTTTTTAATCATTTGACAAAAGAATTTTTGCGGATAAATATATAGTTATAATTAAATATTTATTTTATGTCTATGAGTTAATATTAATAATTTAAATCCTCAAAAATTAAATTATTTTTATTAGTGATTAAAAAAGATAGTTAAGTATTTGAATTGACCTTTTCTTTTCCCGTATTTTGAATTAACTAATTAGAAAGATGATCTAATTTTATTCCTTTCTAAATTTATCATATAGGTAACATTAGCGATAAGAGAAATCTTAATATAAAATAAAATCAATTGTAGTATTAAGAATTAAATTGGTTAAATACAAACTTTAAGAAATAAGGATGAATTTGTAGAAGCCAAAATGTATTCATAAAGAGATGCAGGTGAGATAGACTTTAACATATTCGTAAATTATATTAAAGATATGTGTAATTACAAAATAATGTACAACTAATTTAACTAAATTCATCATCCATGTATATTCAGAAGATATTTAATAATTACTATGAGAAAAGCTATTTTTATCATTTAAAAAAAATATTAAATTTTATTTAACGTCAATGTATATATTTTTAATTGATAGACACTACACACAGAGTCCGAAACCAAAATGTGGTTCTTTTGGACTCGAAGAACCAAAATGTGTGGGGAAAAAAAAATGGTGACCAAAATATATATAAAGCGTTAGCAAAAGGCGTTATACCTTAACGGCCATTTGCCCAATTAAGTATAATGCACTAACAAAATGCGTTATACTGGCGCTATAGTATAACGCATTTTGTTAAGGCGCTATACTAACATTTCATAAACAAACAAACAGCGAATCCCCATGGCAAAGAGCAAAGAGCCCTTTGTGAAAGGAGAGATAAGACATGTCAAGAATCCCCAAGGTAGTAGGTACAAGATTATATCACTATTTTGGTAAAAGTTTCAGAAAAAGGACCATGAGAAATAGTGAATGAGCTATTGGAGTTGAGGTGATGAGATCATAAAGTTAAAATTAACATAGCAAAGAGAAGTATTCTCTCACACAAACACACATAGCACCCTTATACGCTCGTCACTTCATATATGTGTCGCTTTTCACACATACCAATTAGCCAAATAAAGTCACATCCTAAGGGGTATTCTTTCACACAAGATTAAACAAGATACTTACCTCAAACCGACTAAATAAATACTCGATAAATGCCTTCCCCTTAGAAATCGCATCCAACAAGCTCGAATCTAGCAAAAATTATCTCAAAAACGTCAAACAAAAGCCATAAGAATCAATTCCAAAACTTTATTCAATTTCTAAAGAGACAAAAGTCAACCCAGGCCCACACGGTAAAAACTCGATTTAAGGGGTAGATCCAAACTATCCATAACTGTATGAGTCAAAATATGTGATTAGATTCCAAAACAAAGTCCAAATAGCCATTCAAATCCAAAAAATCCTTTATCTTAAGTTATAGGCTAAAATCCCAATTTTCCCTCCAAAATCCCATGATTAAAGTGCATAAATCCATGGGAATTCAAAATAAATAGTCAACTCCAAAGAGAAGTACTTATCCACAAAGTAGTGATGAAAACCTCTCCAAACATCACCTTTAGTGATGAAAATCTTTCCAAGCACTCGCGATCGCGGAGAACAAATCCTCCCAGTCCATAAAACCTCTTACGGGATCGCATGATAGCAGTCGCGAACACGATGACTAGCCTTCCTTAGCTTACGCGATCGCATTCCATGCCACGCAAACACGAAGAACATCGCGTGTCTCAGCTTAGTCTCCCCTTCCTTATACACGAACGCAGTCTTACGCACGTGTTCGCGATGGACAAACTCCTCAACCATCATGATCGCGTCCCTGACTTCATGAATGCGAAGAATAAAACTCCATCAGTCCCTAAGGACTCTACGCGATCATGGGAGAATCTTCACGAACGCATAGAAGGAAACCAGAACAGAAAAACAAGCAGTCTCAATTCAAGAATGAATGGTCCGAACTCAATCCGATACATACCCCTGGGCCCGATGCCCCGTGCGAACATACCAACAAGTCCTAAAACATGATACGAATCCGCTCGAAGCCTCAAATCACATAAAATAACACTAAAAACACGAATCGTACATTAATTCAAGCCCAATGAACTTATGAACTTCTAACTTCTAAAACTAATGTCGAAACATACCAAACCAACTCCAATTGATCTCAAATTTTGCACACAAGTCATAATTTACATAACGGGCCTATTCCATCTTTAGAAACCAAAATCCGGACCTGATATGAATAAAGTCAACTCCCGGTCAAACTTCTCAACCTTCCAAACCTTCAACTTTCTAACTTTTGACAATTTAAGCCAAAACGACCTACAGACCTCCAAATCAATATCCACACACACTCATAAGTCCAAAATCACCATATGGAGCTATCGAAATCGTCAAAACCCCATTATGGAGTTGTCTACAAAAAAGTCAAACTCTGGTCAACCCTTTCAACTTAAGCTTCTTGTTCTATTTCACTTCGCAACTCACCCGAAACCAAAACCAACCACCCCGGCAAGTCATATAACTACAATATAACATAGAGGAGGCAATAAATAGGGGAACGTGACTAAAATATTTAAAACAACCAACCGGGTCGTTACATCCTCCCCCTCTTAAAGTGAATGTTCATCCTTGAATGAGTATGGAGACATACCTGAAGTGGTGAAAAGAAGAGGATTACGACTATGCATTTCATGCTTGATCTCCCAAGTCGCCTCCTCGACTGGTTGACTTCTCGACTGAACGTTTACTAAAACAATGCTCTTTGACCTCAAATTTTGGACCTACCTATCCAAGATGGACACCGGCTCCTCAACATAAGACATTGTCCAATTGGATTGAGCTGAAATCTAATACATGGGACAGATCACTGTGATACTTCTAGAGCATAGAAACATAGAACACCAGATGAACTGCAGATAGACTAGGTGGCAATGCAAGCTTGTAGGCCACCTCACCAATCCTCTCAAGAATCTCAAAAGGTTCGATATACCTAGGGCTCAACTTGCCCTTCTTCCCGAACCTCATAACACCTTTCATGGGCGAAACTCAAAGCAAGACCCTCTCTCCAACCATGAATGCAACATCACGAACCTTCCGATCTCTATAACTCTTCTGTCTAGATTGGGTTGTGTGAAGCCGATCCTAGATCAACTTGACCTTCTCCAAGGCATCTCAAACTAATTCCGTGCCTAGTAACTTCACCTCTCTCGGATCAAACCAACCAACTAGGATTGACACCGGCTCCTATATAGGGCCTCATAAGGAGCAGTCTGAATACTTGATTGGTAGTTGTTATTGTAGGAA